AAGTGCATCGCTTCTAGTAACAAGTCGCTTACTAGTAGTAACAAGAAGCTACTAGGAACAAGTGCATCGCTTCTTCATTTCTGGACATCCGCAGGTCAAGTGGTCCGAGAGGCAGAAGGCGGGTGTGATGGCGTCCTGCATGGTCAATCTTGCAAGATCTATGGGCCAGTCGTTTTGCACAAGTTCTTTTGATGGAGTCCGTATGGAACCTCTCCAAGCAGGCTTTTCACACTTCTTTCCCTCCCACGTTATGGACCGTGCACAAAATGCTTATGTAGGTGGCATGGGTAACATATTTCATCCAGAACTTGGTAGTTCTGTTTTCAGCGCACATTCGCATCCGCAAACACTGCCCTCCACTTTGCCTGGCACCCCGTGGCGCCCAAGAATCAGTTTGGTCCACTCACCCCGAACTGACGCCACTGTAACATACCCGACTGCCTGCCTATTCAGCATCTCCTTCAAGCCACCAGGCACAAGCCCGAGTTGAACGGCTTTTGTCCTTTTCAGTGGTTCAACAGCCCCTCGGCGAAAGAACTCTCCTTGGCCCGGATGAGCTTTTTTTGTAACATATTGTTATATATTGTTGTTATATAAGCCCCGATATTGTGGACGCTTTTGCAATTGCAACACCTCCAAAGTACGGTAGAGCACCAAATTCCTTGGCCTGAAGCCCGATTGTCGCTGAGGTGGCGAGATTCCGGAGAGAGCTGTAGCATTGACACGGTGGATTGGAGTGCTGTGGACTCGGTCGTGCATGTGGGCGGAGGCCATCGGAATCCAAGCTCGGAACAGCAGGCAACATGAAGACATCCATTCGAAGATCCGGTTTCTGAGTGGTTCCCCGTGTTCCCTTTGTTGGAAGGGATGGCTGTTCGGCCGCTGCAGGCAGCGGCGGTGTGCTGCTGGTCCGTTTTGCCACCGGCCGACTTCTGTGTGTCAAGCCACAGCGCCTTGAAGCCAGAGGAGAATTGTGCCTTGACTGAAATGAAGATACGTATAAATCCGTGTATACAGTCCACATGCAGGGAGAAAGGGGTCAGATGGTGGAAAGGGCAATGACAGGTTTCAAGCATTTTGCAGATATAAGACAATGGATGCAGACAACATTTCTATCTATCTGTATACGTGTACATACCTACGAAAGCTATCCAAGCTTTGCGCTGGATGTTGTAGAGGTTTGCCAGCTTTCTGGCTGATGCGTTGGGAATTCCAACTGCGCGTTTGCGCGTTCTTCCCATGACTGAGCAGATCATGTCCTGCTTGCGCACCTTAGAAGCAAGATATGTGCATGTGTGGTAGCTACTGACTTACTTGGTGCAGCCATCCGTCTAGTTCATTTTAGTCTCGCCATTTTGGCACTCCAGCACAGTGCTGAGGCAATGCGAAGCTTGAAATCAGTGATCACCAACTGCATGTGGACTTGGGCTTAGCACTAGCACCACTGTCAAGAATCATCAGAATCCACAAAATGCACGGGGTTGGGCACCAGCATCCATTAAAGGTTTAGCCTACCAAACCCGAATGAGCAGAAAAGAAAAACCAACAACCTACAATAAAACAAGAAAACCACAACATGCGTCATCTTTTTTTGTTTTGCTTGTTTGTTGTTTGGTTTCTTTACTTCATTTTATCCATTAAATGTTTAGCCTACCTTTGTTGGGCCACCGAGATCTCGATTTGGTTCATGGGATCCCCATCGGGTCATGACGACGTCAACGACCCAATGTGAGGAAAAGAAGATCCTGGCGGACGCCAAATACTTGGGACTTGTTGAGTTCGTGCAGGGCCCTATCATGGAGGGCGAGGCCAACGTGGCGCCCCAGCCATTGGTTGTAAAATTAAGTAAATCAATGTTTGATGGACATCATGGGCAGTATTAGTCACATTGTCCCATTGATCTAGTTAGTTATGTGAGTTATGTGGATGACAAGGCGGTATGCTCTATTCAAAGTGCTTTTGATGCAGGACTTCACGAAGCACTTTCGTGGTTGCTCAGATGACCGCCTGAAGCGCTTTTGGGTGGGAGCTGGCCAGCTCGCTGCGCATCCTGTCCGCGCTGAATTTTTCGGTCTCACTGTTGCATTTTGCATGGCGGTGTCAGGGTGTTGGACGTATCGAATCAGTTAAACGGGCTGGACCTTTAAAGAGGCTTTGAACTTCCATTTTGCCGAGCAACTATACTGACATATACTGACTAATGGACATTTGGAAAGTTTCAACCATCCCTATCGCAGCTTAACCGCTCTCTTCCTTTTTTGTTCCGCCGTTTCTTCTCAATATTGTCTCTTAAGTGTTAAGCTGGTGTTCAAGGTTTGATTGCCTAATCAACAACCTGGATCGTTTGCCCCTGATATGGGCCAACGATGGCAACCTCAAGATGCTTGGCAGACTGCACTCCATGATTTGCCGCCCCGCTAGCTGCTGCTAGCTGCTTAGCATTCATTGGGCGCCATAAGGAATTTGATGGTGGATTTTCCTGAAGAAGGACTGCGGGTCATTGGCATTGATCAAGCAGCTGCCTGGACCAAGATTACTATGCAGACTCAGACCAGGTTTGATCCACAGATGCGTGCAGACGCAATTTTGTTCACAGCTGGTTGCCATGTCTTGATTTTGGGCATGTTGCTAGTCTTGAGGTTCGTGGAATATCAGATGCAGGCCTGGCAAAGTACCTGGGCTCCTTGAGGGACTTGCTCCACGCGCTCTGGGACAGCGAAGCTGGCTGGGAAAGTAGTTCCTCTTTTCGTCGAGTGCACGCTGCAATAGAGGCCTGGATCATCCTGGAATCCTGTAGAACATTTGCCCGTGATCAAGCAGAAAACAAAGCGATGGCCTCCAACCTAAGAGACATGGCCTCCAATCAGAAAACAAATTGTGTTTGCATGTAGGTGAACTTTCAGGAGGAGTTTCAAGTGCATGCTTTGGGATTCAAACTGGGGCTGCAGGAGGACTGGTGCAACCCTGTTGCATTGTTCTTGCATGTTGTTGGACTCTGTTCTAAGCTTGGTTTTCAAGTCCAGAGTTTTTGCAGGCGTTTCGCCGCATTGCGTGGTGCTGGCCTTCCAGCTTTTGCAACCAGGTGGATGAAAGCAGAAGTCAGGCGCGTTGTTCTGATCAAACACACACAGCCTCTGCGTCGATCCATTCGCCTGCTTCAGGTAGCAGCGGTGTTCGGCTGTGAGCCGGCCGAGCTGGATTTGCTTCATTGCTTGGTGCGGGCGGCTGCCACGACGATCGCTGCAGCCAAGCTGCAAAGGGATGTTCCCATCGAAGTCCACATGCTCTCAGTGTGCTCCGGCAAACGTGCTGAGGAAGAAGTTCAGAAGCTTGATATGAAGGCAGTGCCGCAGCCGATCATTGACATTTTCCGAGTCTTGGATGAGGGCAATGAGGTTTGCTCTTTGTGGGAGGGGCATGCAAAGGGCCAATTGGGTGAGAAATCGTTGTATCATGAGTTCCGAGTCTTTGTGGCTCGCGAACCTGAGGTAAGCTGCTTCCTCAAGGTCAGTTCACCCCAGATCAACTGGCGAGTTTTCTGCAAGAGCTGGATCCAAGCCTTCAGACGACACCTGCCAAAGATTTTCTCAACTCCTTCTCGAGCGCTGGCACCATCGGTACCATCAGCTGTGTCAACCTCAGCTCTGGGCCCACTGGTAACCCGGTGCGGTGGTTCCCCATGCTTTGGTGGGTGAAGGGTTGGGGAAACTTTGCGTCTCATCGCATGCACAATCCCTAATCCCTCATCCACACATTAGTATACTTGATATCGTTCTACGTAATTACATCGCATTTTTGAACATATATCGTTAATTTTAGAGGCGCATAAGAAAGTGGCCCGACCTTTCTCAGCCTGCAAGATGACAGCACTTCCGCCGAGGCTCCGAGTTTCTGGGGAATTTGTTTCGAATGGACCAGTGAGTGTGGCGTTGAAGAATCGTTTTCTGCTCAGCTAAGCAGCGGATTGTTCAATCGACAGCTCTCAACTGCGGATCCAGGCATTTGGACGCATTTTGACATCCTTTTTGGTGGTTTTCTCGGTTTGTTTTGTTTCAAGACACGGTGCTCGGCAAAGAATGGCACCAACTCACAAGAGGTTAATGGGGCTACGAGGGCATTGGCATATAATTAGCAGTATGCACGCTTTCTGCATGACTGCACGAGATTGCCACCGGGGCTCGGCCGTTCCTGCGAAGCAAGTGTTCAGGCTGAGGCCCTTGGTCGCATCAACCCTGGCACTAAAGGGAAGATATTGCTTTGCCTCCGCCCACCTGTGGCGAACTACTTATTTCCAACTGTTCTTCCAGCAGCCAATCTTTGACCATTCGAGCGCACTGGGTCCACACTCCTCACTCTGCCAGAGGCTTCTGGGCAAATGGGACCACTACTGTAGTCATCACTAGGCCGCTTGGCGGGCCATCTCGCAGCAAGCTGAGTGTTTGGGTGAAACAGAAGTCCTCAGGATGAATAGAAACCATGCGCAGCGATCATCCACATTGCAGGGTCTAGACAATGGAACTGACAAACTCCAAGACGGAACGAACAAACGTGCTCAGAATTGCCGCCAAGGCTGCAGGTGGTGTAGAGAGCAAAAGGCGGCCAGCCAACTCAATTGGCTTGACAACTTGCGCTAAGATTTTGGTCTCGGGTGAGTCTCACTGGCTTCATTTCTTTCCGCATGTTTGCACAGTTTGCGCATGCATGCCTGTTAGCCGCTCGCCGTGGCCATGATGGAACCCAAGCTCAGTTCAAAAGCATAGGGTACGGTAGTGCGAAGCAAAGGAATCAAGCCTTGCTCACCCCGCGGTAGTCCCGAAGGCAATCCAATAGAATCAAATGCATCCAAGACAGCGACAAAGTCCTCAGGTTGCGGTTTCTCGTTCGCAATACGGTGTAATATATAAGGGCGGGGATTCTGCAGACCGAGTAACTTGCCATGCCATCTAGAATCTAGCCACGACGCCAGCAATTCTCACTTCGCCAAAGCCTGATGTTTGAGCATGCGCAAGTCCAGACATTTCCGTTTGCTAGCCAGGCCTCCATGAGTTGGGTGATGTACCATTCTGTTCTCAGTGCTTACCGACATAAGGAGGTAGATGCTTGAAGACAGAACGTGAGCTTGCCTCGAAAGAGAGAGAGAGAGAGAGTGAGTGAGTCCACACCTCATGTTTGCTTTGGATTTGTGGACTGGGCTCCAGCACTGAAGTACAGTGGGCTGTTTTTCGTTGACACTTTTGAGCTGTGGTAGCGCGCTTCCGCGACAGTGCCAGTGCCTTAAACTCCACATATGAGCATAACATAACCACATTTCTTATTTGGATGTTCGGTGCCCGAGGCCAATGCCATCCCTTCCGAGGCACGTGCGGAAGTGTCCTTCAGCTTTTGGGGTTATGCCAGCTGCATAAATATGAATAAATCAGTTAGCTCAGCTCCCCTTTCAATGACTCTTTTGCAGTGTGATTCAGTGATCAGCGGGCAGGCATCCAGGTGAAAGCTGGCAGCTTCCTTCCCGGTACAAGGCACCTAGCGTCATTTGACAGCTGAAGTCCTGACCACAAGGATCCCTAGCGGAGCATGTCAAATGTCGCAGGTCACTGAACTGATTGGCTCGGGATCCTACGGCAGTGTTTGCGAAGCTGTCGATGACCACAAGGGCGAGAGGCGATTGGAGCATTGCTGAACTTAATTCACAGAAAGGCTCTCAAAAATGTTCTAGGAGAACACTTGAGAAGCTTGAGTGTTTGCGATGCCTTTCGGCGCACGCTTGCAGGCAAGTGGTCGCAATCAAGAAGTGCAAGAGGATTTTTGAGGACCTCGTTGATTGCAAGCGAATCTTGCGAGAGGCATCTGGCTTGCGTGCGCGTTCCAGTTCCGTTTGGGCTGTATGAGTGGTGGAAGCTTAAGCTGGAACGAGCACAGCGCTTTACTATGGACATTTGCTTATTGAATTTCCTTGACAGTTCCTTTACACAGTAGGGCAGAGCGAAAATCATTCCAAGAAGGTCACAATCGCAAGAGACTATAACATAGGTACGACACATAGACATGACAACTACATGGCCCGCCAGATCTTCAGGATAGTTTCACACGCTTCAAAAATAAGCAGGCGGCGTAGGTATCACGGAAGACAACTCTGAACAATTCATCCCTGACTTGTGACTCGCAAACATTCGAGCACAGCTTCGAACTCTGAAGGGGCACGGTCATCTGACAGACCTCTTTCCATGTGCCAGGTACGAATAGTGTCACAATGTGACAATGTGTCACATATAAGCTCCCAAAATCACGATTAACACACCCCAACTGCAACTTGAACTTTGGAGTTTGGAGTGGGTTTCTGGAGGTCCAGCATAGCCGGCCCCGCGCACGCAGGTGAGCATTCTATCAAAGCTGAGTCACAGGAGCCTTGTTCACAATCCAGCAAGTCCAGCGGGGAGAGTTGTTTATAGTAATAAACAAATTACAGTTTGGAAGTATGGCAACACTTCCGGTTTGGGTCTTATGCTAGCCAGATTCCTGCTGCAAATCCATTCAATATGTGGGGCGTGCCCGGTAGTGAAACCTTTAGGATGGACAGCGTTGGCATTTGCAAAGCCGAGGAATGTCGTCCAAGTGCTGGACTTTTTCATTCCAGGCGGGCCATCGTTGGGGCTGGATTGAAATCGAGTTCCTTTCCACTTTTTCCAGGCGATATGGCAAACTTCACGGAAATCTACATGATTATGGAGCTTTGCGACTCTGATCTTAAGAAGCTGTGCAGGCAAGAGCGGCCTTGGCAACAAACAATACTAATGAATGTCTTGTTGTTTTATGGGGAGCCTTTGCGCTGGAGTCACAATTTCCTGCAGGCAGGATGTCACCCTCAGCCCTATTCACGAGACTTGGCAAGGAATGGAAAGCATGCGAGAATAGAATCTCTCAACAGCCTACAGTGACGGTCAACTTGAAAGCCTTTTGGATTGACATTGACCGGAGCATCCCTGCGCGTCTTAGGTGAACACATTGCTGTACAATTTGCTAGTTGGCCACATGGCTTTGGGTTGGAGGGCAGGTGCTTGCATTATCACCATTATTGCCTTTTAAGCCCAGCACCCACAAACGCAGAACCATCCAAGTCTTTGATTGAAGTCCATTGCGATTCAACACACACACACACACACATTTCTCCCGAGGCCTTAATTACATTCATTCTGCCGGCATTTACCACCGTGACCTCAAGCCGGCAAACTGCTTTGTCAACCAGGAGCACCAGAGATGGCACGCGACAACGTGCCGGGCCATTTGTGTCTCATTGTGACAGCACACGTAGGGAACAGCAGCTTCTGATGAGGCACTGCGCCTGCAAGTTTTACCTTTACACATTCTGACGAAATGAATAGGGAGGGTTTCCGAATGCGGAAGCACGAGGACTGCACTGTGAAGATTGGGGACTTTGGGCTTTCCCGTGCCATTGGAGGCTTCCATTGGAGCATGGAGCGACAGTTTACTTAGCTTGCTTTAGCATGGGTGTTGTTAGTTCGGGTACCCTGTGACTCATGCAGCTACGTGTGGGTTGGATAACGTGGTAGCATAATGTAGCATACAGAGAATGGAGAACGGGCACAAAAAACGGCATTGCTTAGATTCAAGCTTCAAGCTGCTTAAGCCGCTTTTCCAGGTGAACAGAAGCATTTGCGTCACTTGCCCCACACACCTCGACAAGGAGAGGCTCATGAACCTTGGCTGCACCCACAGTAAGCATTTCCTGCAAACAACATGCAGCTCCACAAATGATGCCTGTAATGTTTGTGTGTGTGTGCACTGACAGGCACCTCTTCCCCAAGTGCCTCATACAAAGAGGGCGGCAAAGAACTTGACAGGGCTCGCTGCTCAGGATGGCCGTGTATTGTGGGGTACCGACTCGGTACCGACAATAGAAGTGCCCTGACGTGCCAGATATTGAGGCATGTTGTGACTCGGTGGTATCGTGCACCCGAGCTCATTCTGCTCCAGGACTCAGGTTTGGGTGATGTTGGGTGGTGTTGCCCGCAGCTATCTTGACAACTGAGCAGCCACCAAACATACACTATGATTTGATAACTGCCAGGTGAGGGTATCCAAGGTCCTTTTGACCTCAGCATTTCCTATTTGATTCTCACGGAGCCGCAAGGACAACTACACGCAGGCTATTGATGTTTGGTCTGTAGGCTGGGCGGCGGTGCGTTGGGTCAAGGCACCATCCCGATTTATTTGTTGCCCCAGGCCTTTTGAGCAACACAGGACTCAACTTGTCAAAGAATGCACTAGCAAGTGGGCCAGCGAAGGAACAAAAGGAACCCTCCCAGTCAGTGACATGGCTGATTCTGGGATCTGACGTTAGGACCTGTCCTTTTTCCTTCGCTTGCGCTCGATAAGACCAGCGCTCAGAGCCAGGTTGCATCTACGCTGAGCTTCTTGGAATGCTCCCGTCGGCGGGCAAGAGCTACATGGATCGAGGTCCTCTTTTCCCTGGAACGCCGGGTATTTAGCTCACTGCAGGATACCACAGGGCTGTTTGCACTTCAAGTGGAGTGATTGCCACTCTTGACCTTGGATGGTTTGCCGTTTGCTTCAGGTCGTGCTTTCCACTTTCTCCGGACCACAGGCATAAGCAGGCCTTCTGACTGCATGAAGGGAGGGTGTTTCTTGGCCGCACGGCAGTTGTATGGCGAGTTCTTTCAACTGAGGACTACAAATACTATACGAACGGTAAGCATGATATGCTCAAGAAAATCTTTGGCCTGCTGGGCACACCCGAGCAGAAGGACGTGAGTGAGTTGCACTTCCATGTGCTCTTTCGAGTTTGGACATGAAACGCATTTTGTTTAAGACTCGCATGTGATGCAGTTGCTGGTGATCCTAATTGTCTTCATGTAGCAATGTACTGGGGACCATTTGCATATTGAGCCGTCGTGTACACAAAGATGACCAGGACATCGATGCATGCGTCGAGCGAGAAGATGCAAAGCGCACCTTGGCGGCTTTGGTTTCAGACATGCTGATAAGCCATGCAGATCGTGAATGATACACAGTTGGTCACCGTGGTTCACATCTCCTTGATTGCTTTCCTCCATGACTGTCCAGCTCAGTTGCCCAAACAGACACTTTGATCTTCCTGCCAGTGTGTGCTGTGTTTCATGGAGCCTTTCTTCAGTCATGCAATGCGCTAGCGGCTAGCGTGTAGCGTACCTACAGTGTTTTCAACGGGCAGTTCGCAAACACTCCCCCAAACTACGAGGCTCGTGTTTTATCATAGCCATGTCTCCGTGCGCGTCATTGTCTTTTGATTGATCATTCCGAGCCGATTTGTGCGTGCAAAGCTAGCGGAATGCCTGACAAATACGACTTGCCTGTTATCAGTTCATGAGGACATGCGTTTCGTTTTCAGACATATATAGATTATATAGTGTTCAAGACAAGCAGTTGGGAGTCACCCTACTGTTGGAAGCGCCTGCGCTGATCCAGCTGAGGATACATTGCGTGCTTTCCGAAACAAACGGGAGAAGGCTTGCACAAGGTCTTCAAAGATGCTTTCCCGCACTAGAACTGTCAGGAAAGCTACAACCATGGTAGAACGCGACCAAAAACCAATTTATATAGGGTGTATGGGCCCAACACACGTGGGCAGCCTGCCCTAAACACAACATAACACAACCTGTCACGACCAGGTTACAAAAATACAGAATACATGTTGGAACCTCCCCTGCTGAAGGATATTGACAGCGGCATGTTGGACATCCTCGAGAAGATGCAACCTAACGGCAGCTAGGGAGGAGATTTGAAGAGTGCTTAAGTTCTTAAGGAGAGATCCCATACGGATCTTGGCCATTTTCTAGAGGCAGACATGTGATCTCATTCCAAGCTCTTACCCTGGAGAGAGAATCCTGAGCGAATCAAGTCGGAGCGAAAAAGGATATTGTGTTTTTTGTTGGGTTGATGGTTGACCTTTTCTGCTCTTTTTTGTCCGTTTCTCATCAGCGAGCATGTCGCAGAGTATCCAAGAGGTAGCATGACATAAACATAAATTGGTCAGACCATATCCTTCGAAGATGGAAGTTCAACTATTATTGTGTTTAAATAGGAAAGCATTTACAAAACATAGAAAATCTGCTACAATTATTCCAATGTAGTTCACATTCAGAGTTTCAGAATAACTATGACTCAGGTGTGGTCCCCTGCGCCAGGTTTGATAACAACTATTCCATTGTACCACACACACGTGTCCACACCTTGGGGGTGGGGACCATTAGTTTGAGTTTGTACTCAGGCTGATCTTCAACCCCAAGACTCGCATTTCGGTGCAAGAGGCGCATTGTGGGTGGCAATTTTGCTGTGGTCATTTTGGTTGAGCAGTGGCTGCTGGCGGGTCATCCAGGGCTAGCGGCAGATTTTTACTCTTTTTTGGGACCTTTTCTCGATACTATCTATCATGGAGAATGATTGGCTGCAATGAATCCGTGGATGTCCTTTTTCTAGTGCGCTATTCCATATAATTCAATCCAGGGTGTGTTGGATGAGTGTTGGATGGTCTGATGCAAAAGAAGTCAATTCTTTCCTGGCTTCCAGGCGCTTGCACATCCATTGCTGGCGGACATCCGCGACAAGTCCTTGGAGACGACATCCGCCGAGTTGGTAGTGCAGCTCGGCAAAGACTTTGGACAGTTGGGGCGCTGTGAAAGAGGCAGTCAAGCAGTCAGCCTAGCTCGATGATCTTCTTGCAGAGTTTCAGTTGATGAACTTGTCAGTGCCAGGCTTCCATTCGAAAAGGAGCCAGATCTTGATGAGACCCTTCTAAGCCGCTTCCGCTGCATTAGGGTTATGATGTACGCTAAAGCTAGTTCTGATGACACAGCAAAACATAGAAAATGCATAAACGATGCACACATAATGCAAAACTAATCCCGGAAAAAATGCACAGAAAACGCAAAAACAAGTCACCAAAGGATGCCTTGGAATGCCAAAAAAAGAACGCAACACAATTGCGAAAAAAAAATGCATTTGTCCACTAAACAAATGCAAAAACCGCACAAAAAATGCAAACAAAGGCAAACGAAAGTACAAAAAATGCAACAAACATGCACAAACCATGCAAAACAAATGCAATCAAAAAGCAAACCAATTGCGATCAAACACGTTCTGGTCTTTGCCTTTGCTTTTTTTTGCTGTGTATTTGCGTATTTTTTTGCGATGTTTTTTCTTTTTTTTGTGTTTAGTTGAAAACGCAAAAAATTGAGAAACACATGCACCAAAAACGCACAAAAAATGCAAAAAAAATGCGAAAAAAATCGCACATAAAACGCACAAACATCGAAACAAAATCGCACAGAAAAGGTGGTGTGTGAAATTTGGTTGTGCAGGTGCTTTTTTTGTGTTTTTTTTTTTGAACTGCTGTTCTGCTTTTTGTTTTTTGCTTTTTTTTCTGGCTTCCTTTTGCATGTTTTGCTTTTTGATATGCACTCTTTTTGACCAGCTGCTTTTTTTTTGTTTTTTTAATGCATTTCTTTTGCATTTCCTGGTCATCCTTTGTGAGTGTTGTTTTGCCTTTTGTTTTGCTTTTTTTAATGAATCCTTGAGATTTCAGAGTTAGGCTGTAAGGTACATCATAACATTAGGGGAAGCAATTCGTATTGAGCACGCAGCAAGAGATGCATCTGAGGAAAGTACTTCAACGCGGAGTTTCGCAAGCTACTCGTCTGAGGCGTTGAGGATTGAGCGTGAAACTCCAATGCATGCGTGATATTCACTGCTAATATGATGTGTTTTGCGTTCTTATTGCTTGCTTTCACCTAAACTAGGACCTAAACCAGCTGTGTTTACATACTGCACATCATATGGTTGTATTTTTTTAGGTTGCCTCGCCCGTGAAGCCTTGAGCCTAGAGAATCTTGGTTTTGCTGAACACTGAACTAAGGTACCATCCAGAAGCACCTGAATACAAGCCCACTGGAGGATATTCAAAGTGACTGCCTTGAGAGTCGCATGAGTAAGTTCTCCTGCAGTTGTGGATGTGTGCTGTTCCATCCACTCCAGAGGTTTGGTATATGTCAAGTGACCAATGTGGGGTGCACACGTCCGCCTTGAACTTGTTCATGCATTGCACAGCTAAATAACTGCGCTTGTGACTGAAACACTCCTTTTGTTGCCTTTGCTGTGCATACTCCTTCACAATAAGGCTTTGCAGGATTGCTGCCAGCAGTGCAGTTGTAGGGGGGCTGTGATCAGCCAGAGAAGTGCCAGGTTTCAAGAGACAAGCACCATTGAGCAAAATGAGCATCCTTCATGGAATAGTGACTAGTGCTATTTGGATGTTTGTTTGTGCATCTAGCGCCTGCTTGTCACTAACACGTTGCCTTTCTCACCCATTGGCCGAATTGTTTCCAAGCGCTTTTCAGCAGCGAACCAAGAGCTGAAGCAGCAAGCCGACCAAAAAGGGTTGTTTTGGGCGTGGCGCCTGTTTGCGTGCTGGCCACGGGGGTTGGCTCAATGCGATGCTGACATGAGTGAGATGAAATAAGCCAAACTGTTGTACACTCAATGCAGTTCGTGCTCATTGGACATGCGAATGTAAGATGCCCGTGCTTTTCAACCCCCCTTTGGCACCACACCTGGTCAGTGCTTTTCTTTTTTCCACAGTTTGTTTGTCTTCTGGCACGCTGACAGGTGCAGAGCAGAACGGAGTCCTTGTCTCAGCTCAGTTGCCTTTCTGATTGATTGCAAGTACAGTGGCATCGGGCAGGGCTTCAGGGCCTGCGGCGCCGAAACCAACGAAACAGGCCCTCATGGATCTTCATGGGCCCTGTGAGCCGCATTCTTTGTAGGGCTTACCTGGGTGAAGGTTGATTTGCAGCGCAGCTGTCAGTGCATCGGCACGCGGTTGTGATTGCCGCGGACGTGTGGATCTCCACAATTCCAGGCAGGATGAGATCCTGCGCAAGGCGCTCTCTTACAGGACACTGCTGCAGCGACCCTGGAAATCTGTGACTGACACGGAGCCGTATTCCAAGCCCAACATGTTGAGCCAAGGTGGCGTATTCCGCAATCATGCAGACAAGTCAAGGACCAACTTGAACAGTTTGATGTCCAGATTGTCTGCTCCTCCCACAACACCGCCGCATGGCGCCGCATGGCGCCGCATGGCGCCGCATGGCGCCTGGCGGACACTAAGAGTGTGTTGCTGTCGTGTTTCGAATGTGCTGTTACAAAGTGCAAAAACCTTCCTGCAGTGTTTTCCTCAGACAACAACGTTTGCCGAGATGGATTGCTTTGTCAGGAACCACCCGACTGACACACACGGACAAATTGTGACAAATTACTGTAATTACTGTAATTACAGTAGATGACTTAACATGAGCTAAGCATGTCTTGCATACAGACAGCATGCTTGCAAATGTCCAAAACTTCAAGCATCAAAACTGTTCAGTTCTATGTCAGCACAACATCCATACTGACGGTCTTATTCTGTGAAGCCCACACGAAACCACGCGTAGGGTCTTTAAGCAGGCGCTTGCTCAAGGCAACACTTACACACCGCACCTCCAGATTCTTTTCGGCTTCTCCAAACCACTTGAAGGGGTTGAATGAAGCCTGAAGACCCTGAAGCTGGCTGCATGGTGCCGTGCGGCCTATGGCGGCTGTAAGCCCAAGGCATCCCAATGCTGCTGGCTGCATGAGTTGACCTTCATTCCAGCCCTGTTGTGTAGGTGCCGGGCGATCTCTGAGCATGGGGCTCAGGGTGGGTCCTATGTCAGAAAGGATGCAAACGTATTATACATGCGTTCAGATCCACATGTTTGGCTTCGTTAGGGGTTCCATCCAACTGCTGCGCCAGCAAGACAAGCAAGCTCTTAAAGCAAAAGCCTTGACGGGACTGATGCTCTTCACGGGTCACAACATAAGTGTGTGAGGGATAAGACTAAAAAGGCTATAGGCCATCGGGCACATGACGAACTAACCTCAAGATCAAAGTCATAGCAGCGACGGCAGCTGCGGGCATTTCTGCAAGCAAGAGATAGTTTCCTATCACCGCCTGTCCCCTCTTTGCTGGCTGAGGTTCTTGCAATCTCTCGGTGAGCCTTCCTGGCGGCGGGAGCAGGCGTTGAAGGGAATCTACAAGGCACGATACAAAATGGAAATGGACTGCACCCCTGAAGAGAAGCCGGCCGTTGAATTTGAGCGTGTCAAGTTGCTTTCAATATTGGTATAACATGCTATATCTTAGAGCCTCCAGCTTCGCCAGTCCTACCAAGTCAAATGGCATGCCATTGACGGACTGCCCAAGACTTTGCGGTGGCGATTGAAGGACGGGCTATTCAATTCCTCAACATGATCTTCCTTTTCAATCCTTGTCCTGCCTGGTCCAAGATGCACACCATCACCTGACAGGCATCAATGAGACTCAATAGGCATATGACTAAGTGAGCGTGTGGCGGTTGTAGAGAACCAAGCGCGAGCCGATGGTCCTTTTGGGCCCCGCGCCACGCAAGTCTCAAGGACCAATTTGGAAAGTACATCACGAGCTGGCGCCCGGAGGTGTGCCCCCACGTATGTCAGATGCACCATCACGGACAGGCCTCGCAGACCTTGTGAATCGTCCTTTGGCAATTTGAGGCGGTTGGTGAGGGTGACAATGCCGAAAAGCTTCTTCTGCACTCACACCGAGATCAAGCGCGTGCAAGGCCCTTATGCACATCAATGCACTGAAAGCTATTGTCAATGAGGTCCGCTGTTCGAAAAGCAGACTGCAGCCGAGGTTGAAGCCGTCTCATTGAAATTCCACACCCACCGTTCCCTTTGCATCTCCTCGCAGGCGAAAGGATGGGAAGGAGGTAGTTCTTGAAATCTCTGCAATGAGATCTTTGCAATTGGGGTACTGGTAGCTTTTGCATGTCAAGCTGTCAATCAGGTGGGATGTGCTTTCCAGTGTGCTTTCTGCGCCACTGGGAAAGTTGGACTGAAAAGACAGTTGGATGCGGACGAGATTACCGACCAGGCATGGTTCCCCAGATGAGTGCCATGAACTGCTATACTCTTGAGCTGAGGTGTTGCATTTCCTCCAAAGAGGGCACAAGGCCTGGGTGAAGCCACACTAGAGCACGCACACATATATCACATACATACATACATACATTACATTACATTGCATTGCATTGCATTACATTACATACCATGCCATACCATACCATTACATACCATACCATACCGTACCATACCATACATACATACATACATACATAGCCAAATGAAGATAAGAAACAGATAAGGACTGATGAGAACATTGGTTTCGGGATCTGTTCAGTGCAACACCTGCTTGACCAGCACCAACAGGTAGATGGCGTCTCTTTCATGGGTATGGGCATGGTGCTCAGGACTCTCCCAAGCGGTCCCAAAAACGGCCGCAGGTCTTCCTGCACTCATGCACTGCCCAAGGCGAGCCGCTTGGCAACCCCAAGATATTCGATGCCCTTCGGATTCTCAATGCAAAGGAACTCTTTGGCATGTCCTACCGGAGGCCCAGTCGCCACAGCTTGAGTGTCATGGTGCCATGCGAGCGCCCTTGCCAGGCTGAACATTTCCACGGTTGGGGTCATACCTGGCATCAGAAAGCTCACAGAGGATTGCACTGTAACGCTAGCGCTGTACTGCCACACAGCTACAGTACGATGCCGCCCGCTTTTGGTCAAACAGTCCGCCGCTGGAGTACCGCTGGGTTGCTCGGACCTACCAGTCGCTGCGTGTGATGGCGGCATGTTTTGCTGAGCGCAGGACTTTCCACAGGTGAACCTTGCCTTCTCCTTGCATTCACCATTCACAGAAGAACGCAACAAACTTGTGCATCTTGGATGCGTTTCATGCAAAAATGCAGTGTTTTTACGCTTAAAGTTATATGAATAAGTAGGGGCAGTGGCAAAGAGTGCTTTTTGACGAGGCCATTGAACAAGATGTTCCCAATGGGAGAGGCAGAAGAAGGAAATTTGCTTGTAGCTCTTTGATAACTCAGAAACCGAGAAAGACAATGGACTCAATGGACCCTGATATTGGCAGCACAAGCTACCCGCCCGCCATTGCTGATCATAGCCTGGCATTCAATATCAGAAGAGTGTGACTGTCAGTCAGGGGCGTTTCTCAAAGCGGGCATGGCAGCATGACTGGCTAAAGCAGACCGTTTGTGCAGGTGTTTGATGCACTTGACCAACATATCCGCAGTACTGGCAGACGTATTTGGATTTGCTATTTGCTTTTGGACGCTGGAACCTCGGCAGCTTTGCTTGAGATTTGCATTTTTGGATTTCCCTCACCGAGGGAATCAATGATTCCGCTGACCATGCTCGTGCGCTGGCACAAATGATCAGAGATCGCCCAGTCGAGACCAGGTGGGCCATGTGAGTGGCCATGTGTTACCTGACACAGCTAGCAGACACAGAGGGTCTCAACCCGCGAAACACAGAATCGCCAATTCAATGCACATGAGAAGAAGAATCTCATGAACTCAGATCCACGGGAGGGTTGCTGTTGCAGGTACCTATACCACGTGAATCTGTTGCCTTACAATGTTGGTTTGGAGCTTGGAGATCCAAGCTTGGTGGACAAGTGGTGGCTTTCCTGCGGCTTAGGAAGGGCTGTTCCTGAGCACTTCAACCGTTTAGGCATTGAAGGCTCGTGTGCATGACTGGTGAAAGAGTGACGATGACAGATCCTTGGTTTGGACATTTTGAAAATTGTAAAGGCACGCTCTTTCATGGCTATGCTCTGCTAGTTGCACTGGGTTGAAGAGATACCGTATATTTCCATGTGGACGGCTGCCGGAGGTACAGAGAATTTTCAGAGAATTCTGCAGCGCCCTGTTAGCAGTTTGTTCACTGGAATTGGACACATTTGTCAGAACGCAATAGAATAAGTACAATAGGATACAATAGGACGTTGTAAATTCAATTCGCCAGGGAGCATCGGGTGACCTCATCCTACCGCAACTCGTTCGGCCACGGCATTGATGCTGCGTGTGGCCAACTCTTCGCAGGCTACGAAGAGGCAAGAAGTTCAAGAGGTGCTATTATATAAATATTAAGCCCTTCAAGTGTGTGATGCAGATTGATGCAGTGTGCTGTAGGTAGTTGCAAGAGCAGTCCAGCCAGGAGACAGGGTTGTTGAGATATGTGTGTGTGTGTGAGAGACTACTGGTGCTTTGGTGTCAGTCGTCCGTGTGGCGTTTCTTGTGCCCCAGCCCCACCACACCTATCAGTGGCTCTAAGATTCCAAGCAGGATTGAGGCCAATCACTGCGAGCTGACCATGACAATGTGCTTTGACGAAGGGTGCCACGGTGGATAAGCTCGCGCATTACACAACTGAGAAGCTGACCGGTTCAAGTTCATTCGCTGACGAACTACCAATTACAGCCGAAGACGTGAGCTGAAGATGAGTCTGCAGGGTTTGCGCAATATGGTCCAGCACTGCGGCTGAAAAATGCTTCTTTCGATTCACCTCAGTTCTTTAGAGATGTTTGCTTTGCCCTGAATTGGCATCAGCTTTCGGTGCCGCATGCTGTGGTGCTTCCAGGACATCCTGTTCTGGAAAGGCTTCTTACAAAAGCTGGTCCAGAGCTTTATATCCCATCCTTCCGGTGTGGCATGGTAGGAGATATTGCGCGCTGCTGCATGCAAGCGTTGGGGACTGAATTCCGCAGCGCATTGCTGAGTGTGGCTTAGGTTTGGCGGCTAGGGGATTTGGAGGAGCGTGTGCAGGCAGGCGTCACTGGCTCGCGTCACTGACTCGAACACTATCCACCTCCCAAGGCGAAACAGCCGCCAGCTCGTCCAAGCTTCAAGACGGTTGCAGAGTCCCCCGAGGAGACTATGGGATCAACAGATCCACTTGGGTCAGACTGGACCAGTTAATGCATGTGTTCCAAAGTTACACAAGAAACTTGAACTATATATATCTATATATATATAAGACATTTGCTTGGCTGGTACTTGTGTGCTTCAGAGGTGGTCAGGCAACTGTGCCGCAGCAGTAGCAGCCTTTATTTAAACTTTGCATATGAGCACAATGACAAACAGACAAAAAAAGGCTTATAACTTTCAAGCTCTTCTTCAAATTGGCAGTGAAATAGATTTACCCTCCTGCACGTTGCTTTTAGAATCATCAGACTGATGAGATCACTTTGATCAAAAGCCCAGTGTGGATGCCACAAGGTCATAAGGCCGGGTGAGACTGGGTGTCCTTCGTCATGCCTATTGATTCTGTTCCAAAATTGAGTTCAGTATTTGGATACTGCTGGTCCGTTGGCACCGTTTGCATTTTTGGGGGTGTATTTTCATGTCATGTGCCTATCAAAAATACAGTAGATGTTCGAGACGGATGAATCCTGAAGTTGTATTTGCAAATTGAGGTATTTTGTTGCATTTGTTAAACTTGCGTTCACAGAATAGCATAGATTGCGCGGAGGTGCGAGTGTTGTTCCTGGATGTGGATGGAGTTCTCCATCCGGCCATGTGTGGCATCCAACTACAGAAGGCCCTTGGCACCGAGGAGATGAGCCTGAAACCGATTGAAGCGCAAGTTGTTCAGGGAGCGTGCATTCTTTGCTGAACACTAACTTGTTACATTCATATTGAACACACAGATCATATTCATTTCGTCTTCGTGTGCAAGGCATTCAGAGGGGAAAACAAAAAATTACAACCTAAGTCAAGCCAGTCTGTCAGCCCAAGAAACTTTTCCCAAGATCGACGATCCCGAAGGACTCAGCAGCCATGATGAAGCTGGCGACAGGGGAGAATGGGCTGTTCCGCCCGCGGGCGATGATGCTCGGCCGTGATGATCGTCATAGCTCTGTTCGGGGAACACCAGAGCAATGCCGCAACGCCAAGGAATCACACATCGCTTAATCCCCTCAATGAGTCATTGAACTGTGGCAGAGTGCTTGTTTCATGATGTTTCATGCCGATACAGGTCTCGGCAAGAAGACTTTGGTTTGGTTCATTTACTCAAGACGGACTAATTAATTGGCAGTGTTTAAAGAGTATTGGACAAGTTTCTTTCTCGTCAGCATCTTTGAGAACATTTACAATGTTTATCCCAAATCTACCCGCAGTAGCTGAGGAAATGCCTTGCACGGATCCTGGTGTGCTCCGGTGCAAGGGTGGTTCTCTCCAGTGCGTGGCGGTCTCTGCCGGGAGGCCGACCTGCCCATTCTCAAAATGTCTCACCAACAACATCTATGTGCGATTTCAGCATCTTTGTGCAGTCGGGCAGTCCGCACGACGTGCCGCGGAGTTTTTTTGAAAGACGTACCCGCGGTTCGGTTCGGTTCGTACCAATCCTCGAAGGCAAGCAAGCAGTGAACTGGGTGCTGCAAAAGTGGGGCTTGCCACCAGTTTATTCATGCACTCCGGGTGAGGGAGCAGACCGAATCCTGGACAGCACTGCAGGACAGGACCAGAAATTTGTTTGGAAAGCGAAGCCAGACGCAATCAACATGCCTCAAGATTGATCTCAACATTGCAGAAGACGTGAAGAGTCACGTGAAAGCTTAGTGACATATAACTATAATTTAAGGGCTGACGCCCGGCAGCCGGCCAGGGGCCCACCACTGGTTGTCGTTGTTGTTGTCGTTGTTGTCGTCGTCGTCGTCGTCATCGTCGACGTGGGCCGTTTGGGCCTATGTTGAGCCCATCTTGGGCGTATGGCGGCCCATCTTGGGCCTATGTGGGGTCATCTTGGGGACCTCTGTTGGATCATCTTCGGGCACATTTTGCGCAATTTATGTTGACACGGGCCCATCACCAAAAAAATGCCGATTATGCATGTCCGCGCGGCGCGCGTTACCGACCCCACCCTTGGAAAACACACGGTTTTTGCATTTCGTGACCATTTTCCCACCACGAAAGTTTTTGATCTACCACCCCCACAAAGCCCTGTAAAGCACAATGTTTTTTGCACGTCACACGCAGAATCCACTGTAAAACACACGGGGCGGAGGTCTCCTTCGGAGAGGAGAGAACCGAAAAGCCACGGCCAGAGCCGGGCCTGGTGACGGGCCCCTGGCCGGATAAGGGCTATGCCCCGTGCCGCCGACCCTGGGAAGGAGTGTGGAGGCAGAGGTCGGCGCAGGACGCTGAAGTGGAAGAGGAACTCGGTGACTGCCAAACGTCGCTTTCTGACGGCAGCGGAAATCAAAACAAGCGACTCTGGCGTTCCAAATCCAGCTCCAGAGACTCACTCCCAAGGCTCCGGCTCCGAATCCAGCTCTAGAGGCTCATTCCCAAGCTCCCGGCAATCTGCCGAATTCCACACCAAAACTCACCCCGAAGTTGTCGGCCGAGCATCCCAAACGCCGCTTTCTGACGGCAGTAAAAAATAGTCTTCTAGCCTCTTCCAGAAGCCGTGCATTCTGACGGCAGGATAGAGCTCCAGAGGTTCAGTCCCAAGGCTCCCGGCAATCTGTCCCGCCACGCCTTTCCACCATCTAAGTGTTTTCTGCTGGCAGGATGGAGCTCCAGAGGCTCACTCGCAAGGCTCCCGGCAATCTGCTAGTCGTCTTCCAGAAGCCGTGCTTTCTTCTAGTCCTCTTCCAGAAGCCGTGCTTTCCACCATCGAATTCAAGACGCTTCGCGTCGACAGCCGCCCACACCGCGCACGAAGGTTTGTGATTCCTAAGTCGGATGTGAAGGAGGGTCAGATGCGAAAAGAAAGAGGGAGCTGCGAACTATATTGGCTCCAAAGGAAAGACAAGTGCAGCCATGTCTTACGGCTGCGTTGGAGCCATCTTGGGGCCAACTTAGTCCACCTTGGGGTCCATAATGGTGACACAACTTCGGCATTGCCAAAAGCCATCTAAAAATACACCTCCAAAACGCCGTCCCCAGTGGCCCTGCAGCCGAGCAAGAATCAACACAACAACCACCCCAAAACACAAAAACTCCTCCAAAACGCTCTCCCCAGTGGCCCTGCAAGCACGACATAACGAAAAATCATCCAAAAAGGTACATCCAAAACGCTCTCCCCAGTGGCCCTGCAGCTCGACCATAGCCACGCACGCGCGAAAAAATGCACCCCCCGCTAGCAGAGCTATATGTACAGGATGTTTTTGCTAAAATGCAGAGCTCGACGGCAAGAGCCCCAATAGCACGCCCTGCACCGTGGGCGGGCTCTACACCAAAACTCACCTCAAAATTGTCGGCCGAGCAGCTCGGTGACTGCCAAACGTCGCTTTTTGACGGCAGTCAAAACAAGTCTCTCTACATGCCCAAAGCTATCTTGCTACACCATCTAATTCCACACAAAAAACGAGCAAAAATTCGTCCTCAGAGCTCTCTTTCAGTTCCAAACGTCGGTTTCTGACGGCAAGAAAAATCCTCTCCTAGTCTTCTTCCAGAAACCGTGCTTTTTGACGGCGGGATGGAGCAGTGTCATTTGGCGCGCTCCCCGCCATCGGCTGGATCATCGTAAAGCATGTTTTCTTGCGATGACTCCAGTGATGACACCATGTCCAATCACAGTTTGGAGGTAGGAATTTCTTCAGAAAGAACATGCGTTTGCTAAAAGAGTCGCGGCCGCCAAGGAAGAGTCGAGCACATTTGGTCTTGGCTGGCAGAGCATCGAGACGAAGTTGTGGGTTATGCTGTGGTGGACGACATGGATCTCTCTGAGGAGCTTGACGTAACAGGCTGATGCAAGACCAAATGCTGTGCGTTGGTGTGACATCCCGCCGTTGTCTGACTTCCAATTCCAATGATGTGTCTTGACCCTCTCATTAACGCAGAGATGGCAGGTTTCCGGACGCAGCCTTCTTGCATTGCTGGCCACTTCGTTCGAACTCCTGGTAGTGTAGGCGCGGGCTTAGCCTCCGAGACACAAGGGGTACAGTAGCTACTTGATGCGATATGTGCGCTTTCATATGTGGATAGGCTCCCTGTCAAACATGTCAGAGTCCACATTTTTGTCCTGAGCTGAATGACGCTCCATCCTTGGCCAGCCTTTGTCCCATTTCCCATTTTGTTCCTATTCTCTGGCCCTTGACAGGCCTCACGTCAGGACATGTGTCCCGCCTACTCACGAAGCTGCAGAAGGAGCCCACATTGCCACCAGAGGCAGGCAAGTGGCAAATACAGAGAAGCGCTTTGTGCTAGCAATGGCTTGTGCAACTAATCTCTTATCTGCAAAGGGATCCAACCCCATATCGTGTAGAGAGCAGAGGCTGCCCAAACAGGCATTGTGCTGTCAAAAACAAGATCAATAGTTACACCCCTTGTACCTTTAGGGTTGGGTGGCCTGTCAGTTCGGCAACATGCTTTTTGGTGGGTTCCCGTAGGTTGCTCTCAGGCTGCCTGTTTGTAGCACAGATGGCGGCTTGTCCGTAGCACGCGTGGCTTTTTGGGCACATGTCGCAAAAGGAGGCTTCTTACATAGAGTACAACGAATAGGGGGCTGTCACACCAATCCTCCGTACCAACTTAAACTTTCAGTAGCTCTCCCTTCTAAGAAGAATAAACTTCACAATGTCGTCACGTCGGCTACGCCACGACACAGCTAACTCAACGGGTGGCATCGCAGAGTTAGTCTCTGAGCCTGAGAATGCTGTCAGGGTGTACCTGGATTACGAGTGCTACCTGCTTTGCCCCCATGCAGAGGCTGCGTTGCCGTGAAATCCACTTGAAATCCTTGAATGAAGAAAGGTCGTTGAAACATCATCAGTCTTTGCAGCCCTGTGATATTCTGTATTCTGTTACTGTTTCTTCCATATTCTTCAAGTTTCTTCATGGTTTTCTTTTGGCCAGGTGCTCGGCCGGCCACCCACATAGACAGCATCTTAGAGGTTCGCGAGCAATTTGCGACTGCTGTC